AAATCAGGATATATCGTATCGTATCGCCAAATTCTTGCCAATACACAGCCCTAGACAGTCGTCAGTTTCAGTAAAATAATCTTACTTGCGCCTCTCCTCTCTCCATTTAGTGATCTCCTCTGGCGTGTCCAGTTTGATTCTTCTAGCTCCTGGAGCATGGTTCTATAACCAGGACATGAAACACGGGTCAGAAACAGGAAATCACAACAAGTTAAAGACACACACTGAAGGTAAACTCACGTTTTTCCAGTGTATGGCTACTAACTTCTCATGGGCCATGAAGTTACAATCATGTATGGAACACTGCAGGTGACATTTGACCACAACACRTTAAATCAAATCAAATCAAATCAAACACCTTGAAGCGACAAACTGAATAAATACCTTGACGTGTTGGGAAACGTGTTCGTCGTACTTGGGCTGGTTTTCGAAGCCGCGGTCACACGTGTCACAGTAGTGAGAATACTCCGGCTCTTTCTTGTTCTTCGGCTGTGGGTTCAAATTACAATTCAAATATAAAGAATCAGTAAAATGTTTGAAAAGGTTTGGACGATTCACCTTTTTCCCACGTTGATTATGAGGCCTGCAGCTCTGTCTTCCACCTGGACGCCACTGATGTCYAAAGTTTTGAGCTGAACACAGAAAACAAAGAAAAACTGTACSATCTTCTTGTGCTCAGAGTCTGTGTTTGGACTGACCATCTGCTACTACCACCAGGGTTTAGCTCAGTATTATACCCAATTTTGTGTTTGCTAATTATCTGTGGCGGTCATCTTGAATCAGATTTGCTCCAAAACGTAATCAYTTGTAGAAGTGCATCTGGTGGTTTATTGCCTAGAGTTTAATCAGAATCCAGAGATATTTTGCTAACAGACACTCACAGTAAGGGTGTGTTTGTCCGTAGTTCCCCGCGCTTGGAGGGAAGCTGTAACCCGCCTCTCTGTACTCCCAGCCCGGGTTGACGCCGCAGCTCCAGCCGGGCTCGGACGGCGTCTCTCCCCAGCTCCACATGCTGGGGTGGAAGCTGCTGGAGCGGGGCTTCTGCTGCTGCTGCTGCTGCGCGGGGAGCTGAATGGAGCTCGGCCGGGGACAGCTGAAGTCCGGCGCGGGGTAACGCTCCGGAACGTTCATATCGTCAGTTCCGCTGCTTCTCTGAACCTTTAAAACGAAAGATAAAAATATTTTTCTCTGAACGTCAACTCAAGTTTTTCGTCCACATGCTACTCTCTCGCGACCATGTTTTGCTAAACTTCACTGGTCTCGTCACTTCCGTTACAGCCGGAAAAATTATTGATGCATTCAATGTAACTCGGAAATTATAGGCTTTAGATTGAATTTTGGTCGAAGGCCAAATAATTAATCTACTAATATATGAAGTTGTATTTTATTTTAGTAGACCCGTGCTGAAATAATTGATATTCAAACATTGTTTTTTTAATTAACATTGCTGATTGCTGTACAGCTAGGTTTTTATCAAACGTGTACGAGACATTATAGCCGAATAGATGGATTTACTTAATGTATTTGAAAGCCTCGTGTTTTTTCCACAACATCTCGCGAGATTTGGTTATAAAGCACTTTGGTTGCCAAATTAGTTGTTATTACGCACTCTGACATTATATGGTTGGAGATAAGTCACAATTAAACACTTTTCTTAAAGAACTAATACCATTGGCTTTAAAAATTGAGTKCTTTTCCCAGTTAAATCTATATAAATTTGAATTTATGAGAATTCACGACTGCTCTGATTCTACAATTGACAATGACATAGGTCAAGTATTTAGGAATGTGGATTGCTAAATGTACAGGAAGAATTCACAAGATAATATTGACTAATGTAAAAAGACATTTAAAAACTGACTTTAAAGAGACATTGCATTGTTTGGTATAACAATATTAATCTTCATCTCCATCTTCTGCCATGTAGCCATGGTCAGGTCATGGCGGCAACAGGTCCAGGAGAGAAAGCCAGACAYCCCTCTCCCCAGGGACATTTTTCAACTCATCTGGGGGACCCTGAGGTGTTCCCTCCAGGGAGTCCTGGGTCTTTCTCAGGGCCTCCTACCAGTGGTACATGCCTGGAACACTAAAGAGAGGCGTCCAGGAGGCATCCTAATCAGATGAACCACCTCAACTGACTCCTTTTGATGTGGAGGAGCATCGGCTCTACTCTGAGTTCCTCACCCTGTCTCTAAGGCTGAGCCTGGCCCCGCTATGAAGAAGCTCATTTTGGATGCTTGTATCCAGGATCTCRTTCTTTTGGTCTCATGATCCATGCCTCAGGACGACAGTTGAGGGTTGGAAAGAAGACAGACCAGTAAATCAAGAGCTTTGCCTTTTGTCAGCTCTTTCTTCACCATGACGGACCRAAGCAACACYCTCATTACWGAGGACGAGGTCCCAATCGTCGATCCATCTACTCCTCATCCTACATCCTTTGGTTCTACAAGGATTGGATCTCCATTAATAGCAACCCARACACCCCATACTCCCACAGCACCCCTCCCTTGTGAAATAACAGTCACACTGAGTGAAAGAAAATCTGTATAAGACTGGTGGCATAAACAAATTTGATCAGTTTCTGCACATATTGGACAAAATTGCACCTTCTCCTTGTATGTCGTCCTTGTATGGGCCAAATAAACCTGTTTGCTTTTATGTGTATTTTTGTTTGACATTGTGTTGCTAGCATTTCTTTTGTGTGCCAGGAGAGGACACTGTTATAATTACATGAACCACACTTTTTTTATACACTTGTTGGGGGCCACTATAACATCTTGTACTTCATGCAACCTTTTTGGGTTTTGTATTTTGTGCATCTATGGATTWAACAACATCAAGTACTTGCTATTTTACCCAACTAAACCGGACCAAACAGTCCTGTTAAGTCTTTATTTATTTCTTGATTCTTGTGCTTTGTCAAAAATTGTTCATGTTTACAGGAGCTGTGCTCTACGTTACAGATTTTTGTATATGAGACCGTTTTGTTCTCTTTGTTCAACTTAAAACAACCTTTTGCACATCCTCATAGTCAGTACTTTGCAATGTATTAAATACTTTGTGTCCATATGTATGTATGTATGTATGTATGTATGTATGTATGTATGTATGTATGTATGT